AGGATATTGGTTTGGGGGTATGATGGAAATTGCAGGACAGGGGCCAGATTGTGTGGTGTTTTAAATTCAATGCTAAAGGTCTTGTGCTTAGTTCTACAGGAAACGGACTGTTTTAAAATTTTTAGTAAGGAAAAATGATATGCTAAACCTGTGTGTTAGAAAGAATACCTACCATGCCATCGGTGTAGAAAACTGCTGAATGGATGGAGCAGAGAGGAGGCTGCAGGAAGGAAGACCAATGAAGCGCTACCGGCGTAACCGCAATGGCAGGGCCTGACAGTGGGGCAGTTTGGAAAAAGGCTCAGTGAGACTTGGCAAACAACTGTGCGTGGAGGGATGGAGCAGATGCAAAGGTCCAAAGCAACTCTGACGTCTCTTGAGAGTCTGGGCGCACGCTTCTGTCATTGTCCAGAACAGGAAATCGAGGAAGGAGAGGGCACCTGCAGGCAGCTGGGGGAGGAAGCAGTGCGACGGGGAGGGGGGCGGGCGGGCGGGCGGGCGGTGGGGGGCTGGAGGCGCAGCATCCTCTAAGGACACTATCGTCTACAGTTACTGAATTTTTACTACGGGCCAAATACAGTTTTCGGTGCTTTGTGAGTTTTAGCTCATTTAGTCCTCATAACGAGTAGGTATTGTAATAGTATTACCTCCATTTTACAGATGAAGTAATTGCATAAGTGTAGAATCAGACGACTCTGAGTTCAAACCCTAGATTTACTGCTTTTTAACTGTTTGATCTTGGATGAATGACTTATTCAGTTTAAGCTCAGATGTAAAAACTAGGAAATCATACCTATTATATGGGATTATTATGAAGATTAGAGGTAATACATATGAAGCAACTAGTGTAGTGTCTGGAACCTCATATATCTTAATAAATGCCAGAAGTTATTTTTAGCTATGAGGTATCCCAGCACTATGTTCAGTGAGAAGGTGGGAATTTACGTTTAGATTGCAGAGCTTAAAGTAAAAAATTTAAACATCAGTGTGTTGATGTTGGTTGGATCCTTGGATATTAATGCCATTTCCTGCCTAGTTTGGAGGTGGGTGGTAGTGTACCAAGACAGAGAATCACAGGAAATTCTTTGGAATACTAATGATAAAAAAGCCAAAAGCATAGAAGATTCTTCCAAAAGAAATATAGATGAAACACTATGAGAAGCAAGAGAGGGGGGTGGTAGCAATGGGAGACAGGTTATAGACAAAAAGACCGGTTATATAAGTAAATATGTACAGAGAATGAGAGTCATGTTTTCCACTGTAGAAAAGAGTTATGAATAAGAAAACAAGAATGAATCCTCTGATGAACCCTGTGTAATGTTGTCTGAGATGGCTGTGTGTCAGTGATATGCCTAGCACTCAGATCTTGAGTTCTAAATACCATTTTCTAGTAAAAGGAACTAGGGTTCCTTCGAGAAATGGATTTTCCCAGGGATGGGGAAGGGAAAGATGAACCTGGAACTTTATTTTGTGCTAAGAAGTAAGGAAATGTTCAAAGGATGACAAGGATATGTCAAAAGGACCCAGAAGCCAGATTCAAGGGGCTCCCCCTAGCCAAATCTAGGACAACTTAAGCATGAAAATGAACCTTACAAATGGATTATAGCCCACGTACTAAAGTAGGAAACCATGAGTCTGTACAGATATAAAGAAATGAATGAATTGAAAATTTGATGTAGGGCGAGATTTTGACATAGTTTCAAAGTATTTTCTGACAAAATACTATTAACAAAAGGAAAAAGTAATTTTTCAAGGAAGAGGCCAGGCAGACACTATCTTAATCAAGCGACCTGCATGAACCTCACCAGAACTGGGACAAGTCACACCATGGCCATCCTGTGTTATTCTTGCTCGAAGACGTCTAACCTGAATCTAATCAAGAAGAAACAAAATAAATCCAAATTGAGGAGCATTACAAAATAACTGATGTGTGCTCTTCAAAAGCATCATGGCTGAGTGAAAATCACAGGAAGACTGAGACACGGTTCCAGACTGAAGGAGACTGAAGAGAGGAGAAAACTAAATGCAATGTGCGATTCTGAACTGGATCCTTTTGCAGGATGTAAATTGTAGGGACAATTGGCAAAATGTGAATGGTGTCTGAGGATTAGATGGTAATAATTCAAACAAGTGAATTTTTTGAGTTCCTCTGATTTGATGGTTAAATTGAGGTTTTGTAGAATGCCCTTCCTTGTTTGTAGAAATGATACACTCAAGTATTTGGGGATGATGGGTATCATGTCAATACGTACCTTCAGGAAAAGCAGCATTTATAGCGTGCTTCCACTTTTCTGTAAGCTTGAAATTATTTCAAAAAGAGAAAAAACTGACCCCTAAAAGTTAATAGTAAGAATGTTATACTAAGAGTGTTTGGTTGCATTATTTGTTTTGGCATGTATGTGTGCAAGCGTGTGCTGCTGTATATTTGGCACTAACAGCGAGCCATTACTGATGGCCTGGTGTTCCTGGCCCCTCTGGAGTCCAAGCTTCTGCTTCTCAGTTACCTCTTTTGACTCTGGTGGCTTGTTTGTTTATAGTTTAATATAGTGTGCATAATTCTCCGTAGTGTGCATGGCTAGTATTACTGTAAGACCCTTAAAATCTTTGAATTACAACTGATTTTTAACTTTCCATTGCTCCTGGTGATTCGAGATTCAGGGACATAGGGTAGTCTGAATTTAAAATAAAAGATTATAAAATAGCACTTAAATAAAGACAAACTACATGCAAGGATTTTTCTAGACTATTCAGTATCATTACTTCTGTAACATTACTTTTAAGAAAATGTGGCACATTTGCTCTAAATGGTTTTCTTATGAAACATTAATCAAGTTAATATGAACTATAAACAATGCCTGTACCATACATGCTAACCATTAGCTATCTTTGCCCTTTAAATTCTCTTGAGGCTATTCCCAGCTGTTAATCTGTATTTGTAAATAAGAAAACTCAGACAATTCAGGCTGTAGGGCTCCATTCCCACACACCTGCCTCTGGTGGGAGGGGCGGGGGGGCTGCAGGGTAGGCGAGTGGAGGAGAGTGGGAGGGAGAGTAGCTCCCCTGGGAAGTACTGCCAGGTGGGTACTGCAAATACTGGGGAGAACACTTTGTAAAGTGCGTGATTGTCTAACCACTATGCTGTATACCTGACACTAATACAAAATAATTTTGAATGTAAACTGTAATTGAACAAAATTTTAAAAATTTATAAAAAGAAATCCGGCCCTGATGTTGTCCCTCCTACCCTCCCTCCCTCATTGCTCCATCCATCACAGAGTAGTTGAGTGTCAACTATGTGTCAGGCAGGGTAACGGGGCTCTGGGGCCGATGATGAAGGAGACACATTCTGGGCCCTTTAAGGAGCACTGAGTTTGGAGGAGAGCGCCTGCTGCCCTGGAAATTTAATATATTCTAATAGTCTCTACAAAAGAATTCAGATGTCACGTGCTGTAGGAGGAGAAAAAGTGCTGCCTGACGGGGAAAAAAGGAAAGTCTTCACAGAAACAGTGCCATTTAAAGCCTTGGCTGCAGTTTGCCAGGAAAGGAGGGAGGTTGAAAGAAAGAACAGGCTGAAAGAGAAGCTGAAGGTCTGAAAGCCCAGCTCCTTCAGAGCTCACAGAGGGGCACTGCCAGCGCACCTGAGGGGGGGGGGGGGCGTGTGTGTGTGTGTGTGTGTGTGTGTGTGTGTGTCTGAGAGAGAGAGAGAGAGAGAGGTGTCGATGGGCTGCAGAGCAGGCCAGAAAGGTCCCTGTGGGCAGACGATTTAAAAAAACTAAACAAAAAACAAGACAAAAAGCAAACAGCGACAACAAACACCCCTCTGTGCTCTACTAAAGAGTTGGAACTTTATTCTGCAGGCTACGGAGTGTCAGGGGAGGGTGTGAGGCAGCGGGCGGCCAGTCCCCTCCCCTTGCAGGGGTTCTGTGACTCCAGGGAGGGCAAGGGAGTGTCTGACCCCGTGTGCCTTGGGGATCGATGGCCTCTCTCTGTTCCGCTCTCAGCTGTAAGTGTTACCTCCCCCTCATGCTTCCCCTCACAAAAATAGCATGCCCTGCATTTTCTTTCCCTTATCTGGATTTTTCTTCATGATACTTCCCAAATCTCTGACTGACTCCCCCACTCAGTGAACATAAGCTCGATGATAGCAGGAACTTTGTTCCATATTGCTGTCTCCTCTGCCACGTACTGTGCTGGGGATAGTGTGCACGTGTTCTTGAGTGAGAGCGATGCAGACCTGCCACAAATCTTGATCCAAAGGTCTTGGAAATCCACAAAATCAGATTCTAGGAAGGGAAATTTGCAGTGGCCAAGGGGCTCTGAGGTAGAGGGATGTGGGGGTAAGAAGCCCCAAGAGGCTCTCTAGAGTGACAACAGCCTTCCAAATGAGACGGCAGAGCCTTATGCTCCGATCTGCTTTGTCTTTCCCCCCCTGAGCAGGCCCTTTATAATGGGAAGGCAGTCCTCGAATAATATTCTAATTGAGGGGAGTTGGAACCTAGATAAGGATTTCTCTGGGGAAATAGAATAAAGCCTACATCATTCTTCTAATATGGGGTCCAAAGCCAGAGTCTGGAATCACGAAGCTCGTGTTTTCCTGAATTCCCCTGAGATCTCAGCATGGGCAGACGGTGTCCTGCCGTACTGGTGGGTCTCACAGTCTCAGCCTGGGCACTTCACCTTCCACTTCTCAGCATCTTGCATGCTTGGCCAGTAGGACGCAGGAGGGCAGTCACGACACAGGGGTGAATGCATCAACCAGGTTCCTAGGTAAGTGTCCTAGCTCCCCATCTCCAGCAGCTGGATGTCCAGTGGAGTGGGGAGAGTCTGGAACTTCTCAGAACACTGGCCGATGGCTCAGGACATTAGCTTTTTCAAGCCTTGTGGTGAGAAATGGCCTCAAATCACGAAGGGAGACAGACAAATCTCAACTCTTTGAAAACTGGTAGCCTTGTTGGTAGGTCCTTCCAATTTGAGAACCAACTAGTTTGTTCCTGTTTCAGGCAACCAAGACCTTGTATTATGGATATGCTAGGAAGATTCAGCCGTGGTCGAATTGCCTGGAATATGGGCAATTATGAGGACATGGATCAAAGGAATTCCAAAGGGGCCTCCCTCATTAGACAGAGTAAGGCAGGACTGCCAGGAGCTTCCGGACCACCTAAGCTGCCAAAGCCACCGAAAAAGGCGGAGGTATGATCATCTGCTTTTCTGAATCATAGAAAACATCAAGCTCTTTCAATATATACATTAAAGAATGCTATTCGACAGGAATACCACTACTAATGTTTCATAGCTGCTTCTAACTTATCAAAACATTCTGTAATTTATATTGGGTTTCCACAGTACTGCCTATGCTGTGGGTAGGTGGGTATTATTTCCATTTTATAGCTGAGGAAAACAAGAGGTTGTGGGGTTCACTGTTTACAACTGCTCATTGATCACATGGTTGAACCTGGAGAAGGGCCCGGCTCCTTGATTTCCAATACCTGAGAAAGCTCTCAGTCTGTGAAATGGAGGTAACTCTTTAAACCTTCTTAAATCCCTTACAGGTGGCCTAGCAGAGTGAGACTATACCAGTTCAAGTTTTTCCTATTACCATTTTTAGAATCTTGAGCAAGTTGCATAATTTCCCTATATGGACTTTTTTTTTTAAGTATGTAAGATGGGGATATTGGTATCTGTTGTATTTTGTAGAGTTATCATGGGAACCAAGTAAAGAATGTATAAGAATATATATTTAAATTAACAACTATTTCCTAAGGTTCTTTTGCATAATCCCAGAGCAGAATGCACATTATAGTCATGCAGTGTTTCCAGTACAACAGATTTCCATGGCAGGAAAGGTAATCAGCTGGGCTACATTCAGTGACCCATGTCTATACATGAAGAGAGTCTCTTTTCTCCATTGAATCTTGCCAAGTCCCTAAAATATTGTTTACCCTCTGTCACCAGCAATCTGATTCATTAGCAATTAATTATATCTGTTGGAAACATTCCGTGAGGGTGCTGTAGAAGTCCTTGGTAGGTCCTGACTCCAGGGGCACAGTTCAGCTGCTAGTATTCTCATGTGGTCTGAATTTTGGGCTGGGTCCAAATGAGATGATTTACTCTAGTGTGTGCAGGGGATGCTTGGATTAGTACTTTCCATCTCTGAACTAATTTTGTGTAGGACTGGAGTGATCTTAGATTATATGATCCCAAGGGCCTCCTTCTATCATTCACTAGATCAACTGAGCAACCATGTATGGGTTTTTGTAAAGTTAAAAAAAAAATTGTCCATTAAAAAAAATCTGTTAAAAGAGTTTTCATGTTCAAATGATTTCAAGCTTGCAGAAGTGTTGCAAGAACAGTAGAAAGGGAACTCCTGACACATTCTTCACCCAGAGTCATCAGTTGTTAATTTGCTTTAATGCTTTCTTTCTATGTTGTATGCAAATACACACACACCACACGCACACATATATGTTATCTTCCAAACCATTTGAGGGTAAGTTGCAGTCATGATGTTCCTTTACCCCTAAATATTTCAGGTTGTATTTCCTAAGAATAAGAACATTCTCTCACATAACCATAGTACAATTATAAGATTTAGGAAATTTAACATTGATAATTATCTAATCCAATGATTTTCAGCCTTTCATCATGTTGTACACATAAGTTAATTACCAACATTCTGCAGCACATCAAAAAAGATTTTTACATTTTTTGCCAGTCTGACAAAAAAAATAGATATAATTTTGATTCATTCGTACCAATGGCTATGGCTGTGTGTTAGCTGTTGTCATTTTTTTATTTGACAACAGAAGGGAAAAGAGGTCAGTGCCCCTGACTAGTCAGGTACTGCATGTCTTAAAAATTGTTGTTGCAAAATTGTTTAAAATCGATATCTAATCTATAGCTCATAATCCAATTTGATCCAATAATGTCCTTTGTATTTTTCTCTGCTCTAAGATCCCACCTAGGATCATGTATTACATTTACTCCTTATGCCTCTTTAGTCTCCTTCAATTTGGAACATTTCCTTAGTCTTGGACTTTTCATAACACTGATACATTTTGAAGACTATAAACCAGTTCTGTAGAACATCTCTTGATTTGGATTTATCTGGTGTTTTCCCATGAGTAGAGTCAAGTTTTGTGTTTCTGGCAGGAATCCCAGGGGAAGTGATGTTCTGTCCTCCTCAGGGCATCACATCAAAGAGGCACCTGAGGCGGGTTTAATTCGTTGTTGGTGAGAGTAATTGATCACTTGGTCACATCCCTTCCCTTCCAGAGATAAACAATACACTGCATCATTCAAAATAATCTCTCTTTTTATCAACTAGGCTTTCTTCTAAATATCCAGAGATATATTAGAAACTTGTTTCCCAAGTCCCTTTTTTTGGCCCATCCCATAGGATTCTTACAGATAATACTTTAATAAGCACTCAAGCCTCCCCACCCCATTTAATATAAATCCTCTTCAGTGAAAATAACTTGAAGCAAGTGTGCTTATAAATTCAAAAGCAAATAAGGAATGTAATGTGTGTAAAGCCTCCAATATCATGTCTCACACTGGCCACCCATGAGTGGCTACCATTACTACACTTCCTCAGAAATACCAGTGCACTTTCATTCTTATGCTAGAGGATTCAGAACCGTGCACTGAAAGTGGCCTCCGAAGAGGAAAAATATGTCAGCGGTACGGAGTGATCTGGGGGAATCTTAGATGCATAATGCTATACATACTATCACGTTTTCTTATCAACATAGATGGCTTGAAATGGAAATATTTTCTATATATTGAGGTTCTTGGGTTTGAATGTCTACTTATAAACCTAAACTTGGAACATGATTAAAATACTTCTAACATGCTACTTACGGTATTTAACAGTATCATTCTTGTACACATTTACCCAAAATTCATATTTTTGAAAATTGAACAAATTTTTAAACTGTATTTTCTACTACATTTCTCCAAATTTCTTTTTAAAAATCACAAAACATCATTCAAGTTCTATCTTCTAGACTACCTGTTATTTTCCCTTTTTGATTTTTGGCTTTTTTTCCTCCACATAAATAGTAGCCACTAAAGTGTTATCAAATTTATGTGTATGCGACATATTTTTATCATCAGCCATTTGTATTTCGTGGATATAATTTCAGTGATTAATACATTCTTCCCTCATCCATTCACTCCCATTGTATGCAAAAGCAGTAATTCTCAAATTTTAATGTGCATGTGAACCACTTGGAGATCAGGTTAAGATGTAGATTTTGATTCAGTAGGTCTGGGATGGGACTTGTGATTTTGCATTTCTCTCCAGGTCCCAGGCAATGCATTTGTTGCTGGTCCAGGGACCTTGAGTAGGGGCTAGAGCATTTGACAGTGAATTATTGCGTGTTGAGCTAGGAAGAGGAAGCACTTCGTGGAGCAAGGGAAGGGCACAGGTTGGCAAGGCAAAGGCAACAACAACCTAGAGCTTTGGAGGAAGGACGTGTGGTTCAGTATGGCTGGAAAATAGTGTACAAGGAGGTGCGTCTGGTGATAAGGCAGGGGAAGACGGACCAGTGGTGCCATTTGAATGCATGATGCTAGGAACTTGAAATTTACTGGGCTGACTTTTAAACAAAAGTGACAGGAATCAACTTTATGTTGGCAAGATTATTTAGACACTTCCTGGAAGAGTAATTAGAACTGTTCAACATGAAAGGGAGATAAGTTTGAAAGGCATTTTGGTAGCTCAACTGACAAATCAACAGGGATTAAAATAAGGCAAACAGAAAAGAGGAAACGTGATGTATTAGAGACACAAAGAAAGTACCAGATTCAATGGCTCTCGGTGCTGACTGGGTGCAGGGAAAGTCTTCAGTTACCATGGAAAAGAAGAAAGTGGGACTGAACCTCAGTCCGCATGAGAGAAGGGAGGGAGGTGAGGGGGCACATTGCAGTAAGGAGAATGAACCGGAAGTGGAGGAGTGAATGCCAAGAAAAACCTCTAGAAAAAGCTTAGTTGTCAGAAGATGGAGAAACTCAGAATAAAGAGGACAGAAAGAGGAACAAAGGAGAAAAGGTTATTAGGGGTGAAACTTACTTTTTACACACTGAGTAGAAAAAGCTGGTAGACTGAGAACTGGAAAATGAGAAAAAGGAACGATAACTGATGAATTGAGATCCCCACGAAAGCTGCGCGAGGTGCGCAGCCAGAGGGAAGGAACACGCAATGGCAGGGTCCCTCTGTACAGGAAGGGGGCTGTTTTCCTTCCACTGTGAATGGAGCATTACCGCCTTCCTTGCCATCGAAGAGGGTTTTTCTCACTTTCGTTTTTCTTGTTCTCCAACATCTCCTTTGCAGCACATATTCAGAGACCATATGACTTGTATCTTAACCCTTAAAGGATAACTCTGACATCTGTACTGTTCACTGTGTTAAAGATCTTTGCCCCAAAGTCTACTTCCTATACCTTGGTATGACAACATTCTGACCACCCACTTCCATTTTGGGGTCATTATATGTATCACTGGACTGACAGCTTAAGTACCTAAATTAGTCAAGGGTTATCCAGAGAAAGAGAACCAATGGGATGCGTAGATAAATGGACAGATTTTTAGGAATTTAAAAACTGGCTCACATGATTGTAGAGGGTGGCAAATCCAACATCTGCAGGATAGGCAAGGAGGCTGGAGACCCAGGCAAGAATGATGTTCTGGTTGAAGTTAAAAGGCAACCTAGAGGTAGAATTCCCTTTCCGTTGGGGACCTCAGTCTGTTTTCTCTTAAGTCCTTCAACTGAGTGGACGAGGCCCACCTACATTAAGAAGGGCAACCTGCTTTACTCAGAGTCTACTCATTTAAGTGCTAATCCCATCTAAAAAACGCCTCTACAGCAATATCCACACTGGTGTTTGACCAACTCTCTGGGCGTTGTGGTCTAACCAAGTTGACACACAAAACTATCAGTATCCATCACATCGAGGCATGGGGATTAAAATGAAGAAACATACACAAAGTATCTGACAAAACAGTCCAGACACCAGGGAACCAAAAAGCAATGTGGCGTGTATGTGTGTAAGGTCTTTATCAATAGGGAATACAGAAAAACATTTGAAATTTTCATTTGATCTAAAAAGTATTTTGAAAAACCTAATGTTACTTCTCTCTATAGTCCTAAAAACAACAAAATTCAGAATGGTATTGAGGTATTAGGTTGCTACAAAAGTCACACTTAACAGCATATTTTTTCCTGAGACCATGAATATCAATGATCTCATCCATTTCATAGCAAATATTTTATAATGCCCTTTACTTTCCTAAAATAAAATTCATAAATAATACAATCCACTTAAACATATAATTTATAACAAACCAATACAATGCTCTAGAGTTATTATTTAAAAAGTTATTGTAATATATTTTTAAATACATTAAAAATATTGGGGCACTAGATTAAAATAAAAAATATAAGGAAGCAGGCAGATGCTTATGCCTACAAAGTATATACAGTCTTCATAAATGTGAGAGTTATAAATGAAGGCTGACAAAGGTATACTGTACCGGTGACTCAAATCCCATGAATACCGTAGCTGTTGGGAATGTTTTCCAAATTATGTCAATTCTTGTTAAAATTCTGAACCTTACAAGGTAAAATCTTCCCTCAATTTCTAGAACAGTGGCATTTCTGAAAAATTCAGCAATTAAAAATCATTTGAAAAATACATTGTGCTTTTATGTAAAGCAGAATTCAATTCTCAGCTCAGATAATTATAAGCAGGTTTTTTTACTCACATGAATGTCCAGCACGATATTTCAAAGTCACGCAGGAGGTGGGACAATTCTTCATTCCATGGGGTGTCCCACACATGATGCTTCTGCCGTCACCCTCAGCCTCCGACCCCCTTCACCCACCCTTATGCTAAGTGAAAACGGCCCTACATTCCCAAACCCTCCTGTTGAAAATCACTGACAAATGTAATGAATTTGTTTCAGCAGCGTGAGTTAATGGAAATGAGACCCCTGAGTTCTTAAGTCCTAAGATTCAATATAACAAACAAATGTTCAAGATAAATTCAAAAGGTTTATTGCACCAAATGCCACAACAAAATGGATCAAAATAAACATGAACAAGTTTTAAGAAAAATTTTCCATACATTGACATTGATAGTTATTAACTGATCAAAAATATAAAGCCCTATCAATTTGTTTTCATGGAGCTTCCATTATAGCAAATCCCAGAATTTTCTTTTTCTTTTTTTTTTTAACACCGCTTAAATTAGAGCATATTGCAATCTTGCTTCCAAGATATATAGTTAACCAAATTTTGACATTTAAAAATTAACATTCAGAGGGGGCGGCTTGATTTAAGCAAGTATTATAATCAAATGTCCCCTCCCCCAAAGCACAACACAAAACAAATAGTTCACATTACCACGAAAAGCTAAAGACTCGGCTTAATGGTAAAAGTAGGCATTAACTAAATACTTTGCAGAAGTACATAATAGTGGATAAATCCAGACATTCAAAAGAATTTGGGGGTCACTTTATATTCTTTATTTTTATGTACAACCAACGCTAGTGAAGAACCTAAAAAGCTACAGACTAAATTTTTATAAAATCTCAGGACCTAATTATAAGAGCCTAAACAACAGTTTAGTATCATTTAGCAAGCAAGAATTTTCCTTCCTCCAAAAAAGTTAATTTTGAAAAATATGGTAAGTTTAAAAAGTTGTGATGTGTAAACGGAAGTTCCATGGGATGTGAAAAGATTATAGTTATTTTCATTAAAAAACAGCACACTTCAGAAAAATGGATTGAAGCCTGTACAAAAAGCTATTTAACACTGATAAAAATAAAATACTTTGGAGTTATGCACAAGTATGGAAGCTACATTTGCAATTTTCATTGTCACGTTTAAACATACACAGTTATCTTTACATTCGTATCACTCGTCAATCTATTAAAAATAAACTGCAACATGCTAGAAAGAGGCCCGTCACAGTCACATGTACACGCTGCTGCTCTGTCATGCCTCACTAGCTTGCTTAAAGGAGCAAAATGCTACAAAAGTTACACTCAACAGGTAAGACTTAAAAGTTGAAGAAGTCCTAAAGGTGGAATCCTGTCAACTGAGGTAGTTTTCTCCATTTTTTTTTTTTAAGCATTTTTATTTGTTTCTTGAGGTGGGCATGGGAGAGGGTGGGATCCCTTCTTGCCTCTTCGGCTAAGACAAAGTTAAGCCCCTAGGTGGTGAGCGGCAGGTACGTGGGTGTATCTCAACACAAGTCTGTGAGATTGTTTTTCTTTTCCACTTTTGGGAAGAGGTTGAACTTAAGACAGACAAAACTTGAATGCTATTTAAAGGAGGCCTGTGAAAGAGCAGCAGCATTCTTGGTCTGTTCTGGCAGGCAGGAGGTGTGAGGATTAGGTCCTGACCGGAACCCTGAGCATCACTGAATCAGTCCCCACGTGTGACCCACCTGTGGTTCCCAACAGACAGTTTTCCAGAGAGTCTGGGAACAGTAGATTAAGAGGCAAATTAAATCTTCTCAGGCTTTGAGGGGACTGGGTTCAATCTTTTATGCATGAAGTTTAGAATCAGCCTTTTAAGGCTCAATTTTCCCCTATATGGGTCTAATTTTCAACATGCCACATTAGAATGGAACTGATTTTGTGTCTAGTTATTTTCTATGAAACCCTGGAAGGCGGTGAATGAGGAAAAGTGCCCAAAATGTGTAAACAAGGAAAAGGGAACAAGAATGAGGGAATGCTTTAAACTGGTACAGATGGAAATGATGTAACACCAGCTATTACAATTTATTTACATGTAATGAAAAACAAATGATGAGTGAGCTGAGCCACAGGTAAGGTTCCTTCTCTTTGTGGAGCATAAAAACAAGCAGTGATGTCGTGAAACTAGAGAACTTAAAACACTAAACTCAGATGTTAGGCAAAAAAAAGAAAGAAAAGAAAGAAATATCTAAGAAGACTAGAAAACTTAATTTAACAAAAGAAAAACATAAAAATTAAAGAGCGTAAGAGTTTTAATGCACCCATCCACATTTCACATCGTAAAAAAAGAGAGGAGGGAACGCAGCAATTCTGACTGATTCCTAAGGAATAATTCACCCACTTTTCTCCACCGGTACTGCTGCTATTCTCTTTCAAACAAACAAGTAACTTGCATTTGTAAAAGAAGAGACAAACATATGTAACTTGGTGTTTAGAATTTTTTCAGATAGAAAATCTGAAGTCATTTTAAATCCCTAATAGGGAAGTTACTTCATATTCTTAGATACAAAGGAATGGAAAGGACTGAAATTAATTTATAAAAAGTGAAAGGAAACTGGAGCCTGGTTATAATTAGCTGTACTCAAGATCATCAAGATATCCATATATACTATATGGATATATAATTATATATACACATATAACAGTATTTTGCTTTACTAGATTAGCTCCTGTCATGTAATGATCAATTTTTTAAGTCTTTTTCTGTGTCCTGGATGTCAGTATATTGTCTGATGTGGTCATAGTTCTTGGTCGGTAAACTAAGAAAAGTTTCTTTTATATGAACAGAAAATTAAGTTTTTTTTCTTTTTTAAAGTGAGTTATGCTAACAAATAACTCCTCATTTTGGCAGGTTTGATACTATGGGTAAGTTAATTTCTGGAACGGCGTTTTGAAAAGTATGTAGGAATTAGAAGGCACAGAGATGGTAATGTAAAAATTTGGACCATGTACCAATTGTTTATAAGAGTTCAAACTAATTACTTTCATTAGTCATCCTGAACTGTTGGAGGTTTCATTTCCCACCAGGACAGCTGTGCCTTTTAAGTATAAATAGTCATTTGTATTAACTATTACAGGAAGAAAGTGGCTTTGGCTGGAAGAATTTAGCAACAAATACTCCTGCATTTATAGAAATAACTTTGGTAAAAGGCCTCTCTTCAGAGGCTACTGAAAGCTCTAAAGTATAAGGTTAAACATATGGTATCAGATGGTGTACTTTGCTGCTACAAACTCCATCTTGATGGGATTAAGATGCTACATTGATTCTTGGGTTTATTGCACCAACAATCCACCTCTAACCTACCTGTGGCTGCATCTGAGACAAGGTAAACTCCATGATGTGAAACAGTGGGTCCCTAAAGCACTCTCTTCCCAACAATTTTCTTTCATGTTTCACGTCAGACAGTCACACCTACAGCCACCAGAGCTGAAGGACGGCACAATGTGGCTTTCTTTACTTCACCTTTTGTAGAAAGCAAACTCTGACTTGGAATCTGAAGTCCTTTTCCTGACTGTCTTCTTAGAATAGCAAAATAATGCTTTCTCCAGTGTGGAGAGCTCATGCCAAGGTTCTGAAACTGGAATGGTGTGTACGTCGTTCACCTGCTGCTCCAAAGTCACTTGCCATTCAGTCCGAATACACAAGGCAATCTGTACCAACAGCTTAGTGTTTAGTGTAGTGCTATGCTTCCTCCTATCAAAAAGGTCACTCTCTCTGTTGATTCGTGGGTAACAAAAGGCCTACAGTGTTCAGGAAACACATACATGCCATTATGTCAGGTAAACCTAAGTTCCAATGAAGCATCCACTTGACAGCAACAAAATAAAACAAAACAAAGCGGTGGAATGACTATTTCTGTTTGCTCTTCTTATGCTTTTGACGTCACAAGAGCTTATTCTTTTCTCCTTCAGTTGAGAATCTGTTGTTTGTTTGTTTTTTCTTCCAAGGAAGAACTGTCCTGAGCTTTAGCTTATAAGAGTATTTGAGCCACATAAGGAGAATGAGTACTGGCGATCGCTGTCAACAGAGGCAGGTCGTTCGATTCAATCCTGAATATTGAAAAAGAAAAGATGATTACTTTGCAGTTAATATTATTGCTGGGTTCCAAGCTTGCTACATCACTGCCTAAAACAAAAGAGAAAAGAAGAGAGATGGAAGGCTGATGACCCTGTTCATTACTGTGACCTCCCGGTGGACAGGGAGGGGGTGCAGGGGGGCTGGGCGTATGTATGGACACAGGCGGCTCTCCCGATTTTAAGTCCATAACTTTTCTGTGTCCCCTGTGCGATCTCATTATATTGCACTTCCATGTTTTCTCCACTGTCTCCTTACTCCTCCAGTCGACATCCTGCATTCACACTGATTCTGCACCTACGTTACCATTAGTCTGGAAAATAATGAAAGTGGTTATTTCTTCAAAAACCTCGGGGGTTTGTTCAACAGGTTACACAGCTTAGATCCTCACTAAACATTTGAGCCACGACATTCTGAGAGCAAAGTGACACTAACAGATACTGAATCGAGAGACATAGCAGCACCGGATGGACCCGACTTGGGCTGCCTCTCTTAAAGCAGAGGCAGGCACAGCACCGTCCACAGGCTACATTCTGACAAAAGTCCTGAAAAAAAATGCAGACTGCTTCAGTCCAAGAAATACGTCCTCACCTTTCCCTTGAGTTACACAAAAAATGTAAAAAGAAATCTAAAGAGGTAGCTGGCGTTACCTCATGGAGCCCTTATAACTTTCTCCGGTACTGGCCCCCTACAGATGGAACTTCAGGTGGACAAGAGGCCCTCCGGCCCCCTTGGTGCTGCTGGCCCTGCCCGTGGGAAGCAGGGGCTGGAGAGAGGCTGGGCGTGATTCCCACTGACAGTGGAATAAGGGCCTAGAGACGAGAAGCGGACAGAAATCCTACGATCCGTCTAATAGCGGATGGTGGACACCTGTCAGAGTCAGGCACCAGCAAAGTGTCCTAGAAATAGAAGGCACTCATCTGGCAATGGGCAACCTCATGCAGCAAGACGCAAGTACGAGGCTGGTAAACCAAAACCCAGAAAAAACACAACAAAGAGATACTCTGTAAGTCAACTGTAAAAGCAAGTGCCTCAAGAGGGGAAAATACTTTAAAAATGAAATATGTAAGAAAAATGTGTAAGAGGAAATGCGAAGAGCCACACAACAGAGCAACTTCTATCCTGGGTGTGAAAGATGAAGAGTCTGACAAGAATGCAAAGGCCTGAGTCTTGAGACTTTGATGAGCAGACTTAATAGAAAATTTCAAGGTAGACAATACATGTACAGTATTTTGCCCAAACTGGGGGAATCATCATCGTAGGCAGGGGATAAGTCCCCATATACACGATGCCTTTTTGTTAGTGTGTTGAAAAATTTAGCAGAGTAGAACAAAAGCCAGAATTTCTTCTCTAGAGAAGTCATGGCAGAGACTCTCAGGAAGACACTCTGCACTATTAGTAACACAAGCACGTCCCCGCCTCTGGGCTTGTCATCCAAGAGAGCGGCGCACAGTCACCCGCGAGCACGCAGGCAGGCCCCTGAAAGTCCACAACGCCCTGCCTGCCTCCTCCGGGACACGAAATGGAGCCCAGGCTGCTGCAGATGTCTCACAGCGTGTGCCTTCGACATCTTACTGAAATGACTAGAAATGGGCACACAGAGTGGGGTTAAATTTTTCACTTCCACACATAAAATAACCCAGGGAGACTAACATAAAGTGCCACTAGTTTAAAGTGCTGTTTCCTATTTCTGGGCATGAAAGTCCAGTGTCAGATGCCAAGAACATGCCGGTCGCTGGGGAGCAGCAGGGGCACACACCTGATGGTCCCCAGCACGTCAGTGCGGTTCGGGGGCTGCAGGTGTGAGGTGGCACAGGCTAAGCGGGTCAGGGGTACAGTGCTAGGGACAATCCCATCACAGGGAGAAATGGTGACACGTCACACAACTCACCCCAGTACGACTCCTAATTCTTTCACGTGGACTCGTGTGTGTCCACGAAGGTATTCAGACAGCATCTTACTTTTCAGGTACATCTCCTGTAGTCTGTCTTCAAGATGCATGATGCACTGCGAAGACAGTAACATTCACAATGAGGGTAGGAACTAAAAACGCTGCCAGTGTTCTAGGCACTAAGTTCTCTTTATTCATTTCAAAGTACACAATTATAATAAAATACTCTTAAAAATTACAAGCCATCTCATACCTATCACTAGTAGGTATAAGAATAGGTTTTTGTAAAACGAAGTTTTATTTTTTCCAATGACTATTCAGATTTTCCTATATATCTTCTAGTCTTTTCTTGAAAGCATTTTTTTATGTAGCTGAAATCATTCTATAAGTGCAACTATTTCCTGCTTCTAAAAAACTTTATAATAATCCTTTCTCTGTGTTAGTAAAAATTCTTTATCATTGCAATGTTATGGCTAGATGATTTCTGAGAATGTGATTTACCATTTATATACTTAACCACAGCAATTCGCATTTTTGTTATGATAAATAATTTTGTAAAGGATATCTTTGTTGATTTTCCCCCCTATATATCAGGTTATTTTGGCACAATACATTCCCAGAAGTCAAATGACTGGAACAAGGTTATTTTGAAGTTCTTTCCCCACCCCCCGCCCCTCTCTTAAGAGTGTATTTTAACTAGGTCTTTAGTAACAATAAATAAAGGACAATTATTTTCAGAACATCTCTATCCTTGGAATTGTGTCCAATTTCATTTTTGAGAGAATAGCAACCATCTGTGTCTTTCACCAGAGGCAAATGCTTTTGCGTTTGGCAGGCAGAGCTATCCAAGCATCTTCAGTAAGACACCTGACGGCTTTGGCAAGGGTAATTCTATCACACATAATTTTCTTCTAGACCATTACGCCTACTATTTTCAAGGTAAAAAAGATTAACAGATGCATTTGAGAATGTTGATCTTGACCATCTGGGCTGATCAGTGACATGGAAAAATTATCCATTAGAAATGTAATCTTTTCAGTTTTTTCATTGGCTTAAAATTTCAAATGCCTTGTGTCAGATGGATGAAACACAACTGGCAAGTGACTAAGCGTGATAATCATAGCAAGGAGGAGTTCACCAATCCCCATGAAAATGTTCCCCCCAATACCCAGAGTTCAGTGGTGAAAGGCTCTCTTTCCTGTTAAGTTACAGTTCCTTATGGAGTAAATATAAACTTTCTAATAAGAGTGTTATAAAATATTAAAAAGAACATTCACATTACATTGAATCCTTTGTTTGAAAATAGCTGCTCTGCAGTGTTGTCATAGCCTCCATGAAAATTGTATGTTGCAATGTCAAAATAAAAGAACATCGGTCTATACAAAATGTACACTGTTCTTGAAATTAAAGTGTTTAGAATTCTTTTTTAAAAGGCTTGATTATTAAATAGAACTGTGAGTTCTTCCTTCTCCTCTCTGGCATCTTAATCCTGAAATGAATTTATTTGATTTTTAACATCTGAAATTTTAAGTAGCTACTGTCTCCTTTCATACTGAAGCCTATAACAGGCATTTAATCATATGTTTCATTTGAATGACTTTTAAGGAGAATTTTAAAACTTGCAGATGAAATTTCCTCTGATCTTGGTTTTGTGAGGTTAAGTCATTCATATTATTAAGTGATTAAACACATTTCTGTCCAAATGAAGTGAAAAAGAATTAGTAACAGTAATTTATTGCTTGGAAAATTAAGATGCCAAATGTAGTAAGAACTATATACTAGAGACTAAAAAATAAAAGTTTGGTGAATACTTGTAACAGTAAAAAACTAAAAAATCTAATATATCTTCCTTCCCTTACAGAAAAGGAGATTTCAGCCCCGAAATCAGAAGGATGCACCTTGCTACTAGAAAGAAAATCTGCCTTAATATATCGAACAAAAGTTAGTTTGTAGGATCCCGTAAGCTCTTCTCATATTCAGAGACAGATGTCGTGCAGGAGTAAGCTTCAGTTTAAACCCCAAGTAAAGATTCTAGTGAAAAGGTGTTGTCAGTCTTTAAAACCATTAATATTTGTTTATGAAGCTAATATTAACAATTGTACAAATAGTAGCTGCTTCCTGAGTGCTTCTAACACCTATCACCATCCCAAGTGCTTTATGTGAGTTATCTGATTTTGTTTTCTTAATCCCGTGAGTTAGGTTCTACTATTTCTCCAGCTTTATAGATAATTGAGACTTTGAGAAATCACAGAGTTAGCTGAGCTTGGTCTGACTTCAGGCTACTGGACTGTAACGCCCAGGTGGTGGCCACTACTGTATACTGGCTGTTTAAACTCTGCTTTGACAGCTTAAAAAGCAGTATCTTACGCCCTAATTTTCAGAGGATTCTCATAACATGCTTGTTGAACAGGACCTGTCTTCATCTTAAAAATGAGAAAGCTGAGGTTCAGACACCCGGGCTTGTCCACCATCATACAACGAACCATTGGCTAAGCCTAGACTTTAACCCAGTCACGTTCAGTGGTCCCCTTGTCATGCTGTACTGCCAGTACCTTAAATGACAGAGATGTATCTTGAAGTACCTTCTTCAAAGTATTGTTAGAAGTGTTTTTTAACTATATATCTTGATGAGAACAAATACTTACAAAATCAGCAGGAAGGTGAAGCTTGTAAAGCTGTAAAATGGACTGAAGTAAACTGGACACCTGACTAGAGACCAAGACCTCCTGGCCTAGCTTCGTGTTGTCCATCATCTTCCTCTGACTTGTGGCCACCTGGACACTCCACTTATCTGTGTCTGCGATAATACAGACGGCTTCAGCTATCGGCTCATCGAGCACTGGGTGCTGGAAGGGAAACACATCGGGTCAGGTTTTTACAACACTCCATAAAATGTCCAGAACGTCTCTGTTTAGCATTAGACTCACAGTTCAGAAGGTGATGGGAAGAGCTACTGAAATTTAGGGCTTTGTGGGACTAACACAGGAGCATGAGTAAATCATTAAAAAATTAATTTGATAAAAATCGCATTTAATCATTTTTCTTACACCCAAGAGGTACACTATAAATGTTGTTAAATGTTCATAGATAAGTGAAAGATTCATGCCCTCCCTATATTCCAGGATATTAAAATTCATCTCCTTTTGAAAGACTGCACTTTCCTTTTGAGATGGAGAATATTAGAAGAAGGTATAGGATTCTATTGCTATATGTGCAATAAGAAGGCTTGGTAGGGCAAATTAATATTCCCTGAAAGTTACAGCTTTAATCGTTAAGCAGTGTTATAGTGACTGTGTGCCCATGCATAAATCAACTCTGACAACCAATGAAAATCAAGTTGGGGTATGAATTTACTTATCTGGAGTCCAAAAGGAAAAAGTATGGGTACTGATGAACATACTTAAAATACGAAATGCTCCCTCACTGGGCAGTTAGAGATAGAGCAGGTCAACTAGTGAACTATGCCACGGGGCAAACGGTAAACACTGACTCAGTCCCGGAAGAGGGCTTTAGAAAAGGTGAATTTCTCAAAATCGATCCGGGTATAGCTGCCTCATCACCAACACCTTTGACACACGTATTTAGTATCCCACGTGGGTACAAATCAACATTACAACAGGTCTGTCCTTTTAGGGCTCAGACAGAGAGAGAAAGAAGGGGTGGGGTAAGGCGGGTATATAGAGGGACCAAAAAAGCCACACCTCATGGCCACTGTAACATGAGCACGTGCTTCTAACCCTCCTTTACCATAGGAAAACTAGTTCTGGTCTCCGTCTGTCATTCAGTCCTTCCACTGCCTGTGGTGGCCACCTGTTGCTTTTGGCTACTTAGCATAACCTTCAATAAGTTCATCCCAAATTCCTTTTGGAGAAAGACCTTTCTTGGAGAAGACCTGGAGGACCCCACCCTCCCTCCATCGAGGTGCGGTAACATGACAGAAGCTAGGCCAACTGGATGCTCCTTCCCCGTGATTTCCCTGTGATCACGGGAACAGGGGGCTGAGAAAATGGTGGCTGGCGTCACCATTTTCCTGCCCAGACAGCAACAACTACAAATACCTCTGATAGTTCTTGGTTCCTGGACTTTCAGATTTGTCTTGTTTCCTGTCTATTCCCAGACTAGTTCTTTGGCCTTCTTATCAATTCCCTAATATCTTCCAATACAGTTCCTTCTGCTGAAGTTAATGAGAGTTGGTTTCTGCTGCTGATAACAAAGAACCCAAGAGGATACACAACCTTGCCTCAGACAATGATTACCTGCGATTTTTAAGACTTAACACTAGTAGTGGAAAGACCAAGAATAGAAACCCAACATCTAAGCTGTCCCACTGTAACTTTCACAGCTGATCTGGCTCCCTAGCCCTGGGCTTTTTCATTAAAAGGGAAGTTTCTCCAGCTCTGCATGCTTCCTCACAAATGGGGTAGAAATGACTGCTGGGCAGGATGCAAACTTTGTTGGGGCCAACACTTTCTCCTACACTATATTCATGAAGGAAACTTCCAAGGTTAGACTATTTTCTTATTGAAAGAATAGCAAATCAGGCAAAGCTTACTGGTCCAACATTTATTTTGGCATGTATTCAAATAATCTTAAACATGAGATAAGTTGACAGAGCAGACTATTGAATTAATGAAACCGTTTCCCAAGGATGGTTCTCATTCTCTAGACTTGTTAAGCAAATGGTACAAAGGGTGCTCACTTGTGTAATGCCCCGTATTCCCACTCTCACCCAAAGGTTTCTGTGGCCCCTCACCCCTCCCTTCTGAAACACACACGTACACATTCTCCAAAACAGAAAGCTAAAGACAGAGCCTCGGTGACTTCCCTTTACAAATTTCTGAAAGTTCTTGCTCAATGAATGTGTCATTAATTCATAGCAAGATGACAATGACTTGCCATTAATGTACCTAGGTCCTTAAAAACACAGGAAACAGAAATATAGAAACTAAAAAGATTTGTATGTTGCAATCAATTCTCTTTAATGCTTTGCATTTATCAGAAATTCACTGTGTGCTGTGTATAGCACAAAACAGATCTATACTATGAACCTTTCCTTAAACAAACAGATTCTGAGAGTGTATATAATCATTACTGACCATATGCCCACATACTTATAATGAGTTAAATGTATGCCACTCACCTTTCACCTAGATTTCAATCACCTGCCTCTGTCAAGGTGTGGTAATTAATATGACCCAGGCTAGGCCAATTAGATGCTCCTTCCTCACTCTTTCCTGTGAGCAAGAGGACAGGAGACTGAAAATGTCTGTGTAAAACTAGCTTTTTTTATGGATTAATTATTTACAGCAGACATCCAGATTCTAATTCAAATCATTTCCCTAAATGATTCCCAACCAGAGTGGCAGGGAAGGAAAGTGTGTGTCAGTCTAAGAAGAGTGTACAGACTCTAGCTTACAGAACACCGTCAGCACCGCCAACACGCAGCGCTTCACGTTAAGCACTAAACCGCCAGACAGGAGTAACAAGGCTCCTTGGGGTGGAGATGGATGGAAGAGTCTCCAACCATGAGTTACTTCAGAAGGCTGTAGATTTATAGGTGATAACAAAAGGAGACAGAGACAAATAACATTGTCTCAGTTATATAAAAGAAGAAATTAAATGGGCAAGAGTGAAAATCAAACGTGAAAAATGGACACGAGTCATTTTTAATCACTGGAGTAAAGAGGCAGAATCTGAGGTGGAAGCCTGAGGAAAGAATGGATCCAAGGGTTGGGACAAACTGTATTCTTAGCCCCTGTCACAAAGCCTGGGATTGGAAAAATGTTAAAACAGGTTAAGCACAAGCACATGGCAGAATTGACGAGCATCCTACATTCCCTTACACCACAATGTATGGCTGACTTTCTTTTTTTTTTGCAGGGGGGGCGCGCTCCCAATTTCTAAAATATATTTTATTGATTATGCTATTACAGTTGTCCCAATTCCTCCCCCCCCCACCCTTGTCTCCATCTGCCTGGTATCCCCGTTCCGTCCAGCAATCCCTCCCTTAATCATGCTCATGGATCATGCATACAAGTTCTTTGGCAACTCCATCTCCTATACTGTTCTTAATATATCCCTGTCTATTCTTTGTCTACCAATTATGCTTCTTAATACCTGCTCCTTCTCCCTCCCAGCTGATAACCCTCCAAATGCTCTTCAAATCTATGATTCTGTTTCTGTCCTGCTTGTTTGCTTTTTAGATTCCACTGTTGACAGTTGTAAATTTATTGCCATTTTAATGTCCAAAGTTTTGATCTTCTTCTTAAATAAGTCCCTTAAACATTTCATATAATAATGGCTTGGTGATGATGAACTCCTTTAGCTTCACCTTGTCTGGGAAGCACTTTATCTGCCCTTTGATTTTAAATGACAGCTTTGCTGGACAGAGTAATCTAGGTTGTAGGTCCCTGCTTTTCGTCACTTTGAATACTTCTCGCCAGTCGCTTCCTGCCTGCAAAGTTTCTTTCGAAAAATCACCTGACAGTCTCATGGGAACTGCTTTGTAGGTAACTATCTGCTTTTCTCATGCTGCTTTTAAGTTTCTCTCTTTATCTTTAACCTTTGGCATTTTAATTATGACATATCTTGGTATGGTCCTCTTTGCATCTGTCTTGTTTGGGACTCTCTGTGCTTCCTGGATTTGTATGTCTATTTCCTTCACCAAATTAGTGAAACTTCCTTTCATTATTTTTTTCAAGTAAGTTTTCAATTTCTTGCTCTTTCTCTTCTCCATCTGGCCCCCTATAATTTGAATGTTGGTACATCTGAAGATGGCCCAGAGGCTCCTTAGCCTATCCTCATTTTTTTTGGAATCTTTTTCTTCTTGCTGTTCTGATTGAATGTTTTTGTTTTCCTTATGTTCCAAATCATTTTCAGCTTCATCCACTCCACTGTTGGTTCCCTGTAAATTTTTCTTTATTTCACTTAGTGTAACCTTCATCTCTGCCTGGGTCTTTTTTATGTTGTTGAAGTACCTAAAGTTATTGTATTCTTGCCCATCCTGATAACCAGTGTTTTGAACTCTGCATCTGATAGATTGCTTATCTCCATTTTAAAAAAAGTTTTTAATTTTTTTTTTATTGTTCAAGTTCAGTTGTCTCCATTTTCCCACTCCACCCACCCTCCATTTTGTTTAGTTCTTTTTCTGGAGTTTTACTCTCTTCTTTCATTTGGGCCATATTTCTTAGTCTCCTCATTTTGGCAGCCTCCCTGTGTTTGTTTCTATGTACAAGGTTGAACTGCTTTGACTCCCTGTCTTAGTAGCGTAGCCTATTGCAGAAAGGTGTACCTTAAGTTGGATAGGACAGAGCCTTAGGTAATCGCCAGGGTGGGCAACCCGTGTGAACATGGGTGATGGAGTCCTTGCTCTGTGGCTCTGGAGGAGGAGCTCAGAAAGGGGACAATGCTGCTGCCTGGTCTTGGCAGCTTTGCTTGGGAGGAACCTGTCCCCCAGCACTTGTCCTGATTCCAGACACCTCAGTTTCTCCCTGTAGGCCACTGGTGTCCTTCTAGCTGCTGTCCTGGTGCTGGAGCCCAGAGGGAGTGAGTCTTTGTAAGCCCTAGGTCCTCTGTGGGTCCTTTCAGAGGAGATGCCTGAGAATCACACACTTTCTTCCACTGCCCCAGCACCCACCGATTTTTACAACCAGAGGTTATGGGGACTTATGCTCCTGGCACTGGAACCCTGGGCTGGGTGGTCTGGTGTGGGACTGGGATCCCTCGCTCCTGAGGTATCCCTCCTGGTTTTTGTCTGCCACACAGTGGGTGTGGGTCTGCCTGTTCTGCATCTCTGCCCCTCTTGGATAATGTGACTTCTTTAATTCCTTGGTTGTTGGGCTTCCAT